GGGCCCCGCGGGGAGGTCGGTGGGGAGGCGGTGGGAGGTCGGGGGAGCAGCCTGGGCGGGCGCTGCAGAGGCCAGGGAGCCGTGCTGGGCCCCGGGACATCCCCCGTCCTGCCGCCCCCTGCCCCTCCCCGGGCAAGGTCTGTGCCTCCTTTGCTATCTGCTCCTCCCGGGGTCGGCCTGACCGCAAGGAGGGGAAGCAAACAGGCCCCAGCTTTCCCAGCCGGTAAACAGACGATAAAAGCAGCCCTCTTGGCCTTGGAGAGTGCTGATTGCTGCGGAACGTCCCCTCCCCTCCCCTCAAGGCCTGGAGCGGCTGGGAGCCATGGGCCACCTGCAGGTGCCTGGTGGATTTCTGGAGCTGCTTCCCGGCTGGCAGCCCCCAGGCAGGATGGGGAACGCAGCATTTACATAGGCATGGGAAATGGGGGACATACCGTGATGCGTGCGGTGCCCTAGAAGCCAGGCTCCCCCGTTCTGCCATCTCCCCAGTGCTTGGGGCATTCAGGAATACAGAGCTGCTTATTTACCGAGCCCGGCCCAAACTCAGTCAGTGCTCACCCATTGCTCTTGCAGTTCTGGCTGCCTCAGCTGTGCTCATGTACTAAATCTCTGCGGCCAGAATCCAGGTGTTTCTATGTTGCTGTGTTTGTGGGTCCCAGCCCTGAATTCACCCCAGTGTGTGCATTTCTGCACAGTGCCCAGAAGGAGGCAGAATGGATGTCCTGGAGGAGAAGGAGGAAGAGGAGCAAAAAGAAGAGCTGAAGGCTTTGGAATCCAGTGATAACCTCCAAGATGTGGAGACAGAGGTGTCTGAGGAGCAAGTCTTTGTCCCAAGTGATGTCCTGTAAGTCATGTGTGTCTGATAGTTACTGTGATGAGCAGTGATGGCCCCGTTGGGGTCCACGGGGAGGTTGCACACATGTGGATGGCACGTGTGGTCCCCTTGCACAGGGAGGGTAGTGACCTGGTTCCATGTGCCTGGTGTGTTTATCCCAGAGTGTGAGTGAGACTCACTTCATTGTACATTGATCCATCTGCTGCTGTGTTATGACACCATGAGCCTCTGGGCATATGGCAGCTTTCTGTCAGTCTGGAGAAGCTTGGCTATGTCAAAACCATGTCCTAGGATATGATTCCCCTTTTTTTTTCCCCTGGGAAACAGGGAACCCTTGCCATGTTTTTATAGCAGGTCACCTTGTTTGAATTGCACCTGGCTTAATACCCGTGTCTCTTTGCCTCCTCCTGCCACAGAAGTGATTTTGACTGGAACTCCATTGACACGTCCCAGTTACCGTTTTCGTACCACACAAATTCCCTGAAGGAAGAGAAGCTGCTGCTGGTGGCTGAGCATTTCCTCCAGCAGTACAGTCACCTCTGCCCTGACCGCAAGCTGCTCTTCCTGCACCCAGTCAACGAGTGCGGCCTGCAGGTAGGGGCTGGCGTGGGGCTGGGCACAGCGTGGGGGCACTGGGCTTCCATATTGCCCTTCCTGCCCTCCTTCGTGGGCAAAGGGGATGGGAACCCCTTTGCTGTGCCCACAGCACCCTGAGCAGGCCCACAGCACCTTGGGAAGGGTGGTGGTGCCACGTGGGCTGCAGGCAGATCACAGCCCTGCAGCTTAGGAAAAGGGAAAGACCACAGAAACATAAAGAAACACATGAAACAGGTGAGGCTCAGGCTCTGCCACACATACGGGGTCTGAATCCAGAGCTAGGTCTTACTCTGAACTTCTTTTTCATCATTACTGTTTCATTAAAGCTGTGTAGTTTAGTTTCCTATCTGGAAGTCTCTCCCACTTAATTATCTTTCCCTTTCAGTGGAGGGAGAGTGGTGTACAAAGACCATCTGACATTTGTTCAATTGCCAGTGTTAAACCTGGACAGAAGTAAATGTGGAAGTTTGTGGTCTGGTTTTTTTAGGAATAGGCTCAGGCTGCTCAACAGTTGTCTAGTTCTGGACCTGAGGGACCCCCACGCATCTGGAATTGCTACTTTGGACCAGCTTTCCCCAACATTTATTATATCAGTAACATACCAGGCAAAAATGTCATAGAATCATAGGATGGTTTTGGTTGGAAAAAGCCTTAAAGATAGAGTCCAGCTATTAGCCCAGCATTTCCAAGTCCTCCACTGAAACACATGCCTAGTGCTGGATGATGTAAAAGCTGGAAAGGGCAGAAGCTATTTGTCTTGCTTGAAAACTAAGAGAACTGGCTTGCATCCCAAATGTGTATGAGATGAGCTGGAAGTGTTAGCCACAGACAAGCAGATGGCCTCTCAGCCCTATGCAATTTCCATCTCAGAAGAGGCAAGGAGGGTTACTGACCCTCTTTGATAGACTCTAGGGAGATCCTGAACATTAGCTGCAACATCCAGGAGTGGTCTGAGGACGGCTTTGGTCAGGAGACTCTGCCAGGCACCTGGTGGCTAACCAAAATCCTCTTGTTGCCTTCTAGAAGTTTGTGAGCACAACGTTGAGGCCGACCCTGCTGCCATACCCGGAGCTGCAGCACTGGGATGGCTGCGCCAGCTTCGTCTCTGATTACCTCACCATGGAGCCTCTGGAGTCCCCCATCGCACCGGTAAGAACAGGGCTGCAGTCCATCAGAAGAGCCTCTCAGCAGGACACAGTGTGGGAACCCCAATGTTTGGGATTGCAACAGTCTTTGACCCCTCATAACTTAGGCAACCTCCCAGTTTTCCCAGGTCCTATGCACTGTTTGGACCCATAATCCCAGTATGGGCACAGTGTTGCACCTGTCAAACAATCAAGCACTGTTTCTACAAGATTGGGCGTGACCCTGTCCTCAGTCACCCCAGGTGACCAGCTGGTCTGTAGTGGGTTGCAATGGTTGACAAACTTGCCCTCCAAAGACCTGTGGAACACTGTGGAACAAAGGAGCATATCAAGCCCAGAGGATGATACATGACCTCAGTGGCCAGTTCTGTGGGGCTTTAGACTTTTCTATTCCAATTTTGGGGATATTTTGGGGTGGCTGAAGGGAACTTTCTAGACTGGCAAGAAGGAATGATTCCAGAGTTGGGGCAGGTTCTTGGCTGGTGTGAATCAAGTGGGGCAAAGGGAGCACACTCTTGCCATCAGGAGCTGCCAGCGCCCTGCAGAGAGCCCCAAACCACCTACCTTCACAAGCTCCATGTTGGCCAAGTGTGTCCCAAGAGTCCCAGGGTGTCCAAGGGAGCTCTGGTGCTTTGTGACCATGGAGAATATATCTCCATTTAGCAGACAGAGACTGCTTTGATCACCTAAGATGGTGTCTGAGATCTGGGAGAAGACTGTGTAGAACCTCTCTAGATGTGCATATTGATCCCTTTCTTGCTCACTGGTGAGAGCCAGAAGGGAATGTGTTCCCTGCTTTGATCTATAATTTAGCTTATGGGTCTTCTGCTGCAGACAGACCAGCTAGAGGTGGAGGTAAGTCATGCTCCAGAGTGGTAGTTAGTATTAGTTTTTCAGCAGTTTCATGGGCTTGTTCTGTCCATCTCTCCCCGTGGTTAAATTTGTCACCAGAGTTGGGCGCAGAGTTTCCCCAGATCACTTTGGAGGGGACTTACGGGAACTGTGGTTTACAGAATTTCATATAGCAGATTCCTTATGGGGCAAGACCCAAGGATATTGGCAGTGCTCCCTGTCTCTCCTCTCTCTGCCTGGTGTGTGTTGCAGCTTCACAAGACGAGCACTGGAAATGTTCATCTCTCTCTTTCAAGCCCAGTAAACTCTATTCCCCAACCACCATCCTGAAATACCAGCGAGGGAACTGCTTTGACTTCAGTGTGGTGCTGTGCTCCCTGCTGCTCGGGGCCGGGTACGATGCCTACTGCGTGCACGGCTACGCCACCCGCCAGATATGCTCCCTGGACGAGACTCTGGAGCTGTGCCCACTGCTCAGGAAGCCACCAGAGGTGAGACCTGCAGTGAGCGGGCAGGTAGGAGCCCAGCACATGTGCTCAGCCTGTTCATTTCCAGTGAGCCCCAGGGTTGAGCTAGTGGAAATAGCTTCAGGTTCACCCTGGGGTTCAGTGTGTACCAGGCAGGGACTTGACCAAAAGGATCTTTTGAGTGATTTTCCACAGTTCTTTAGGAGTCTCCTTTGGCTTTGTGGAATTCCTGCTCACCAGGTCCAGTATGGCAAACTGGCAAGGGTTCACAGTATCATTCTGGTTGGAAAAGACCTCCAAGATCATCAAATCCAACCACTACCCTAACTCTGCTGCATTGACCACTAAACCCTGTCCCCTGGTACTACATCTGTCTTTTTAGATGTCTCCAGGGATGGTGGCTCAACCACCTCCTGGGACAGCCTGGGTTGAGAACTGGGAGGCACCTGTAACCTGTACATTCTCTCCCTTTTCTTGGTCTGTGCTGGGTCTCACAGCAATACCCTGCTTTTGTGGATGCAGGTACCGAAATATGGGATGAAGTCCAGAATTAAGACCTTACCAGACCAGCAGAGCATGTTTGTGCTTCAGCAGGAGGCCAAGAAGAAGACAGAAACTGAAAAGAACAAGGAAAGAGAAGAGGAGCAGGTCACGGTGAGTTAGTGAAGTTGCCCTCATGGTAACTCCAGAAGGATGAGCTGAGACAGGTAATGGCTGACCAAATAGACGAGCTCACCACCCTCTGCGATGAAGTACAACACAACCCTGATCATGGCCAGGAGAACTTGGCCTCTGGGAACATAGTGTGTGCTGGCACAGCAATGTGTGATGGGTACCTCTCTCTCCTGAGGAGTGTTAAGGGCCTGGAGATCTTTAGAAGTGGGCAGTGGAGAACATAGGATTGCCATTGGGTTGGACTAAGTGGCAATAAAATGGCAATAGGTACTGAGCTGTCCTCTGCATTACAGGAAGTGGGAAAGCTCAAGCGTGACCCTTTGAGTGGCTTACGGGTGCACGCCTGGGTTTTGGTTCTGTCTGGGAAGAGGGAGGTTCCTGAGACCTTCTTCATCAACCCTTTCACGGGAAACAGCCACAGCACCATGGATGAGCACTTCCTTGGCATTGAGAGCGTCTGGAACCACAGGAACTACTGGGTGAACATGCAGGACTGCCGGAATGGCTGCAAGGTAACAAGCCCTTAGGCACCCTGTGCCTGGGAGGGACAGCTGGGCTAACCTGAGTCCTGGGGAAGCCCAGGATCTGTGGTGATCCCAGTTTCCACTTACCATTCTTTGTGTTTGCCCTGGTCTTGTTGCTCTGGTTACATAGACTCTGGAAATACTGCAGGATAACCCAGACCCTCAACTAGCGAATACAAATCACACCTGTTAAACCCCTGCAATGCCAGAATATCAGGGTTTTGGGCTGGCTGGAAACCCATTCTCTCCAACAATTAAGGCAGAGAATCTTTTGAGCCTGTCAGGCATGACTCAAGGCAGAGAATATCTTGATTAGGCTCTTCCTACATCTCAGCTACTCCCCATCTGATGTAGAGTCTGGGAGGCAAGAGTCTGAGTTAGAGCAGCACCAGGCCCTGTGAATGACCCTGGGGCCATGCACAGCCTGAGGAAGGAGGCTGAAGCATTTCCAGCAGCTTACTCTCATCTGTAGCAGAGGCACGGTGACGAAAGGGGTCTGCAGCCCCCTAGGCAGAAGGGCAGTCTGTGGGGTCCCACCAGCCAGCCAAGGGTCTGACAAGCCCACCTCATTGAGATCCTGGCTCTGTCTAGAGTCCTTTAATTCTCTGACAACCAGCCAGGCCTAGAGCTCTGCAAACACACAGGAGCAGCCTTCAGTTTTGTGTCAGGCTCTTGAAACTGCCCTGGAGTTATGTGGGTTTTTTGTGTATGGTCTAGGATCTCATCTTTGACTTGGATGACACTCTCCGCTGGGAAGTTATGCTTTTGGGGAGCAACAGGTCTCTTAAGCAGCTCTCAGATGCTGAGAAAGAAAAGAAGTTTCCTGACAGGACCATGGATGACATGGTGAGTGACCCAAATGCTGCAGTGGTGCAGTGGGGATGCAGTATCCAACTGGTATGTTTGTGGGCCTGCATACATCTACCTGCCTGCTGCTCTCTCCAGGGCACACCACTGTTGCTCTATCAAGGTTTTGATTGGTTGGTACTTTAGATTTCTTCTCAATCTCCAATCTTTCTGATACTTTTTGAAGCAGGACTCCAAGTGGCACTTCTGGAGTCCTGAGTGACTAGGGATCTCTGTAGGTCTCCAGTGCACCAGCCTTTGGTAGGAAATCATTAAAAAAAATAAAACCCAAACTGAAATTTTTCTGGATGCTCATTCTCTGCTGGTGTTTGAGCAACCTGGTCTAGTGGGAGAGGAGGCCCATGGCAGAGGAGTTGCAACTAGATGATCTTTAAGGTCCTTCCAACCCAAGCCCTTCTGTGATGCTGTGGTCAGCACTCTGTTCTCCTGGCTGCTAGGTGGAGTTGCCAACCAGTAGCAGAAATCATGTATGTACTCTAATATACCAAAAAATGCTGAATACTGGAAGGAAACAATGGTTTGTTGTCATGGTGGGAGAAGAGAGTGTGATAAAGCAGGAGTAGCAGCAGCACAGGGGAGGGAGGAAGGCCAGAGACAGCACATTTGGGTTATCTGCTCTCCTCAGCTCCACAGGGAGCAGAGTGCCTGTATTCTTATTATCTGCTGGTCACTTTCATCCTCATGGGCTCACCTGGCCCCGCTGGGTCCTCGGGAGGAGTGCGGCCCTGGTAGAGCCAGCTGAGCTCTGATCCCTGCACTGCATTCTCTAGAGCCAAAATGCCTCCTGGCACAGCAAGAGAAGCTGCCAAAAATGCAAATCTCTGCTTCTGTTTCAGCAGGAATGGGTAGCCCCAATCCAGATCTCTCCCAAAGGTGTGTATTCTGCCTTTGCCTTTTGTGTGCCCCTCAGCTAAGCTTTTGGTGGATTTGGATGTTTGTATAAGTCACTCAAAGGGTTCTCCCTTCAGGATGGGCACAAGGTGCAGCGGTGAAGTGCAGTAAATGAAGGCAGCAACAGCTATTGGTGGGAACACCTGCCCACCGCTGTCTCAGCCTGAGTGGGACCCCTGCAGACTTGCCCCCTTCCCTGCTCCCCATGTTTTCCTTCTAACTGAATGATTTCGCCTGGGATGGACTTTCTGTTTCCACTATGTGCAAGGAACAGCCCTGGCATTATCTGCCTGGGAGATAAAAGGGTTATTACTCTATTATTAAAGCACAAGAGGCAAGGGCTGAGCAGCTTTATTGGCAGCTGAACACAGTAAAAAATACATGGTTTCCCTTAGACCATGGTTTTCTCCCTCTCTAATTCTTTTTCTTAGGGCTGAGTACAAGGGATTAAAATTTTCTGACACCTCTCTCGCCCATTTCAGAGTTTGAGACCCGCTGTTCCCAGGGGAAGAAGGTGACCCTGTACAAGCAAGCAAAACTAGAGAAGTGGTCTCCCTACCTGAATGAAGATGGGCTGGTGAAGCGCCTCACCATCTATGCAGACTCAGACTGTGAGTGGACACCCTGGATGCCCTGAGCAAACACAGCCTGTGCTGGGGGAAGGGGGAGGTGGTCCCCTTGCTGCCAGAGTCTCTCTGGTGTTTTCTCATCTCTCATGTTTTCACAGTTACCACATGTTCAAATGCTCCATCATGCTCACTGTACATCAGGCCCCAGAACCTTCCAGCACTCCCAGGGGTTTCTGTGGGAGTTTGAATCCATTTTACACTCCAATGGTGAGGCTGTTCAGTGTTGTGGGTCAAGTGCTTGGATTTTCTATCTTCAGAGAAGTGGAAAGCTGATTGGATTTAATGCAATAGTATGACTGTTCCCATTGGTGTACACAGGAGCAGCTACTCAAAAGCATTATTCTTCTCCAGCTGCTCCAAGAAACCGTGGAGATTCCCAACTGGACACAGAGTGTCTTGTTCTTAGCCCTCTTGGGTAGTGTAATATCCTTACCTCTTTTCCCTTCCCTCCTGACACTACCATGATGAATTTTATTTGGGGTAGAATTTCTCTCGCTCAGCCATAGCTGAGCCATCCACTGTGCCACCTTCTCCCCCTGAGGTGATGACTTCAGTTCCTGTTGATGGAGAGGAATACACCCTCTTAAGGTGTAATTCATCTGCTCAAATGTAGACCAGGAGTCATCTACAAACTGCCCCAGTGCACAGGGCCAATTCCAGTGACTACACAATGTCTGCTATGGTGTGTCAGCACAAGGGGCTTGCAGAGGCACTGAGAGCTCATCAGATGTATCATGCCAACTCAACAGGGTGACCTAGGGTTTTGAAACCATTTTTCTCTTGCCAGATACTGAAGCAGTGCAGGTGAGGGAGTGGTTCAAAAATCGAGAAGACCTGCTAGTTATGAGAGAAGTGAATATACAAACACAGGTGATCACAGACTACTTCAGCCCAGGACACCTCCTCAGTCTTAAAGGTATTCCAGCTCATCTGGGCAGCTGGGACTGTAGCTGCTGGGACTTCACGTGAATCCCTTCTGATAGTGGCAAAAGCCCAAAGTTGGGGGCAAGTGGCAAACCTAGGGGATGAATCACCTAGATAAATAATATGGTCTCCAGTGGAGAGTAGAGAATTGGGTTGTCTGCCAGTCCTCGCAGATCAGAAGAAAAAGACATACCTATCCCAGATACAGGGTGATACAATTTACTTTTGCCAGTAGAGGTGACAGACATAGAAACTTTCTCCTCAGGGTGAGGTCTGGTCTGTCAGTGTTGTACAGTTGGGGAGAGAAAGTGCTGCATCAGATCTGTCACTAGAGCAGCATTTCACCTCAAGAGGCTGTGCCCATTCCTGGTTTGGGAAGAGCAGGGCCCAGGCTCCACTGGACTGTGTAAGGAAAGCAGAGGCCCTGCAAGCTGTCCTGATGTCCTCAGGCCATGGCTTATTAGTACACAGCAGTGAGGAGATAACATTCCCTTCTTACACTCTTTACCTGCATTTTATTTTTTGGCTGCTGAAGAAAATGAACCTTCTCTGGCCACACTAGGGCTTAGCACGTTAGTGTTGCCTCTGAAAATGTTTGCAATCTGCCTTATGTCCTCAGCTCACAGCTATAAGTCACTGGAGCCAAAGAGTGAACATATAATGGAGTTCTACCATGAGGCACGAGTTGATGGCCTCCAGAAACGTGTTGAAGATGTTAAGGAGATGACAGAGTACTTTGTGGGCAGGGATGACTTCCTGCATGTCCGGCAGACGGTGTTTGGCAAAAGAGTGAAGAAAGTACACTTGGCTGGCACCAGTATTGACAGCTCCCGGCCTATAGTGGTAAGGCCAAGGCAGGAAAAGAGAAATATCTGTCACTGTGATACTTACACTGTGCAAAACACACTGCCTAGGGCTTTAGGTTCCTTTTCAGTCCACACAGCCAACGCAAAAATCTGGCTGGGATGTCCAGGCCTTGTTCAGCTCCTGTGTCTCACAGTACAGAGAGCTACAGTGTGACCAGTTGTCATGAGCTGCCCTGAGCAGCTAGAGTGAAAATAGGAAACTAAGATTGAAAAATGTGTGTCAGAGGGAAGAAAAAAAAGCTTGACAATGATTTTGGAATGAAATTTTCACAAGACTCAAAACTACTCAAACAATTTTGTATTCTGGCCCCAAATGAATGGCATTTGGGTTCCTGATCAAGTGTTGCACCACTCTGGTTTCTTACAAGCAGGTAATCTGCCTCTTCCTAGTCAGGCCTGATTTAGAGAACAGAAGAGGGAGGAAATCTGACATGTGGCAGTATGGCTCAGCCCCTTCTCCTGCCAGGACAGAGCCATGCAGCAGCCTGCCTTTAGACCAGCACCCAACACTTTTTTCTTCCCTATGCTGGGGGAATGTGGGAAACTTTGTTGTGCTCCAACACACCTTGTTCCTGCAGTTCCCTCAGGCAGGGATGCATCCCAAGCTAGCCTTGAGCTTTGAGACCATACTTAGCTCCACAATTAGACTTCTCTATTCCTTTAAGCATCTTTGTGCTTTTTTCTTAGGCACAGGAAGGAACCATAGGACCATGAGCCAAGAGGTGCCATTATAGTCCAGGCAGAAAAGCCCTTTTTTTTTACCTTGGGTTTTTACCCAACCTTCTGCAATCTTGTAGTTTTCTAACTTTCCAACTCTTTCTTTTCACCCCTCATTAGCAAATCAAGGAGTGTTTTCACAGAAACCTAGAAAAGCCTGCTGATGAAGATATAGCAGAACGTATCTTTCTGATCACAGAGGAGACCATCAGTCTGACATATCACCTCAAGGATAAATACATTACTGCATCAAAGAAGGATTTATTCAAAGCAGCAGAGGATGATAGGAGAGGACGTGAAACTGTCATGACCCCAGAAATGTGCATCATGTACGAGGTATGGAGAAAAACCTACTTCCATCTTGGAAGCTTTTCTAGATCACAAGACACAACAGCAATGTGAAATGTCAGTGGAAGAGCTACAAGCATGACACAGTCCATGCTGCCCCTCTGCTCCATCTGCAGCCCTCCCTCACAGCCTCCAGGATGCCAACACCAAACCCCTGGAGATGTACTGCTGTGCTGGAAGTGCCTGGGCACACCAGACGTGGTGCAGGGTGAAGGGCTTAGTCTGGCCATGCCTGAGCTCAGCTTCCCAGACTTCCCAGACTTGGTCGTCAGGGAGCCACTGGGGTCTTGCAAGATGATGGTTCAGCAACTGTTTGGCTCAGTCATGTGGGCTCATGACAGGGAAGCTGAAATTTCCTCTGCTGTTCTCTTGAAAAATAGAATAGCAGAGCACCTGGTCCTGGGCACCCAGAGCAAGCTACTGACTTTCACTTGCTTTTCTGTTTCCAGGCTGGGTGCCCTGAGAAAGCCAAGAAGCTGCTCCCTCTCTACAACTTGTTGCAGGAGCTAACAAAGGAAGAGAAGCAGTTGAAGCTGCAAGTCCAGCAGTCTGAAGCAGAGGTAACGGGGGTGTCCACACTCTTGTCAGAGTTGGTCAGGCATAGAAATGGTTTCAACTGACTGGTTGCCAAAGCATCTTCACCATAAACTGTAATAAAAATTAGAAATCTGGCTTCCATGCTGAGTTACCAAGCTGGCAACCCAACCACTCTTCAATAAAGGTTAACTTTAATGTTTTTATATTAATAATTTTAATTAATAATATATTTATATTTAATATATTTATGGAGCATCACACACTGCCCAGCACCAGCATTCTCTGGGAGGAAGAGAGTTTCAGAGAGCAAATGACAGGAGATGAATTGGGGCATCTAGAGATGTATCTGCCTTTAGCCTGGAAATCACACCAAAAAGAAAGGATATTGTAGGCCATGGTGGATCGGGTTGCTAGGCAGGCCTATCCAAGATACTGAAGTGACTTTTTGTGGGAGCAACTGTAGAGAAATCCTTCAGAAAATACATTGCTTGTACTGCTAATCACACTGTGACCAGTGTAAAAAATCCATGTTCTTAGAAGTCTTTGTAACTACTTCATGGTAAATACAAACATCCTGGCAGATGGAGGCAAAACTACTGGATTTTTAAAAATGTTTTTGTGAGGAAGAAGAGCTCCTGAAGGAGCTGGAGAGGGAATCCTCAACTGCATTAGCACAGAATACTGGGGATAATTAAGAACAAAACTGCAAAATTCCTTTTTTTTTCCTTTTTTTTTTTTCTTTTTCATAAATTTTAAGCTGGTTCACGGTGACCTCATGAACTGCCTTGCCAAATTTCTCAGTCTGGGTGTATTAATAGCAAAAAATACTCACATTGTTTGTACTGTATATCCTGTTAAGATAAATAAATACTAAGCTAAAGTGCAATTTCAAAAGTAGCGGCATAACTATGGCTCCAGAAGAGCTTTCCTGACAGACAATACCAATAATTGTGTTCAAGAATTTAATACAGGGCAGTAATCTAAAAATAAGACCACTATTGGCTTGATCCATCAGCAGGATATAAACATATTTAGATCTTCTGTATTTAACCTTATGCTACAGTTCTTGTATGCAGTGTCTGCTCTTTTAGCAGGTCAAGCATATAAAAGTACTACCATTTTGTGAGAAAGCTGAGGGGTCTTTCTTCTGATTTTTTGGAAGGTGTTAAATATTTTGGAGATCCGTAAGAATGAAGAAAATGACATAAAATTGTCAGTTTCAATGTATAACACTGCGAGGAGTGAAATGGGAGAACAACAGTATGAAGTCACGGTAGGCAGACTTAATTCATCTCAGATTTATTACATGTACACAAAGAAATCCCAAGGAAGCTTTTTCTCTTTGAGGAATTCTCTCTGAAGAGCTTTTAGTATCACTTAAATATACTGGGCCAAATCCTGAGCAGGTGTAAATCATCACTGCTTCAGCTGACTTCCCATGAACATGTAACATTATCATGCTGTGACCTTTTGACCTGCTGGTAAAACTCGCATCACTGAGAAAGGTTATTGTTTTAGTTCATTTAGTTAATAAAAAAAAATAATTCATGAGGATTAGTTGATAATAGAGATTATGGGAAGAGTATGAGCATGGATTCCAAACTGTAGCTTTCTAGGCAGGGCTCATTTAGTTAGGCAAATACACATTTCCTTCTGTGATAGGAATCAATTGTTTTCTTGGTTTTCCTTATTACTTCCAAAGCCAGTTTTGTTCCAGGACCTCTGAGAAATTAATACCTTATAAATGTTCTGGACAAATACAAAAAGATTCAAGAATAATTACTTGGAGTTTTTCAAGATCACCAAGATGCTTCTTGTGAATGTTTTTTAGACTGAGCTTTGCTGCACAGAGAGGTTATAAAAGGTGATACCAGGTTTTACAAACCAAACTTCTGGCATTAAAAAAGATCAGGGGCGAAGAGCCAAGAAGCAGCTACATCAAAACCCTCTGTCCTAATCTCCTTCTATCCAAATACAAATAGATTTTGTAGAGCCCTTGTTGCACCTCAGTGGATAACAGGTTTGATGTAGCAGATGTCTTTGCAATCAAGCAAATTAAGAGAAGTGTTAAAAAGAAAGATAGAAAAGAAACTACAGAATAAAAACTTCATTAGGAAAGGGTTGGTATGCAAAGTTAATGCAAACCAGTAGTTTTGATCAAACTATAGGAAAAAAGAAACAATACTTCCTCTTTGGGGGTGGATCTTTGATTGTATTTTGCTTCACCGAGGGTGTTTGGGGAAGCAGGTAAATAGGACCATGACCCTTTCTTTCCTTTCCCTTCCAGAGCACAACAGAGGATGAGTTCCTAAGACAAAAGGAACAGGGGCAGGATTACTTGGCACCTTTTCTTATTCAAATTGGCTACAGAGAGAAGATGACTAAGGGGCAGGCCCTGCGTGTCAGAGATAATTGCCTGACAGATTTGAAGCATCGTCTCATTAATAAAGTTAACATCATCCAGGCACGCTTTGAAAAGGTATTCCCAGCCTTGTCCACGATGTGCATGGAGTCCCTTCTGCACTGGCAGGAGGGTAACTCTTCTCATTGTGTCAGCAGGCAAGGAACAAACCTCCTTTGATTACTTTAACAGAGCCATAAACATCCCTATATATGTTTTTTTGTCATTATCATGTGAAATCAAAGAGCAAAATAGCTCTAGGGTGAAATTAGGCCCTGTCTCAATCAGAGCTGCTTTGGTTCTCCAGCTCTTGGTTACGGTGAGGCAACACATTCAGGCTTTGCTGCCTCTCACTGTTCCATGTTTTTCCCCTCGTGTTCTTGTCTCTGAGACCTCATCTGAAACTTATTGCCCCCTAGGAAAATAAACTGGCTCCGATTTGTGGCTTCCTTCATCTTGGCTCCTGCCTTTCTCTGTGCCTTTGCTCCTGGTTATCCTCTGTCTTGCTCTGACTGCTGGTCACTTGCTCCCCTCAACAGGCAGTGGAAGAGCTGCAGAAAAAGGAGCAGTGGTTTCAAGAGAAACGGGATCAGCTCAGCACAGAGGAGGAGGGTGATTTCCTCACCCATTACTCTGAAGCCATGTTCCACATCCACATTCTAGCTCTGAGGCTCAACAGGTATTGGGAATGACTGCCTGAGCCCAGGGGAGCTCTGCAAGTCACCCCCCAGGAGCTCAGCACTGAAGCTATCCTATAAAATGTTCTACTTACTGTCCTGCTGCAGTTTTCCTCTGATATCCCCCTTCTTCTTCTAGGGAAAAACAGGTGGCACCCCAGAAGTACCTTGCTCTTGAAGAGAAGCTGCGCAAGGACCCTCGCCTCGCTGAGCACCTTGGCCATGCCTGATGTCATTATTCCTCCACACCAGACACTGGAAATCAGCCCTGAAGCCTGGTAGAAGCAGCCTGAAAAAAACAACTTGGAAGGGTTTTCCTATTTGGCTGCAGTCTGTCTTCTGTTATCAGCAGATTAAAGAAGCTCTGGATGAACTTGTAGCATTCCACTGCCTTTTTCTTTTCTCTCTGTTGTAGGGCCCATCTACAGTAACATCAATTGTCTTCTCATGCGAGTCTGTCACGTTTGAAATAAGTCTGAATGAGACCTTAGCTTTAAGATCTGCTTCAGAAGTTGCTACAAATTATGCAGGCTGTATTGCAGGGCTTTTCTTCCCCAAACCTGCTCCCTAGCTGCTGACATCAGGATTATTTGGGAGCATTGGTTCTTTTCCAATAGAGTAATATTTTAACAAATGTGTAATTTGGTTTTAGAAATAGCACAAGAAAAGATTTTGAACTTGTGAGTTCACAACAAATACAGAAATTCTTTGACTTTGTTTAGAGCTCTGTATTAAACTCAAAACGGTGCTGGTTTGTTGTGACATGGTTTCGCTAGCAGGGGGGGAGCCCCAGGGGTGGCTTCTCTAAGAAGCTACTAAAAGCTCCTCCAGCTCAGGTGGCCAAGGCCGGGTACTTAGAAAGACAAATAGATGAGCCTCCGCGATTAACATATGAAAGAATTTATATAAAAGCTAAGGAGAGAGCAAGCGGGGGAGAAGCAGCTGAGCTGGAGAGGTGAGAGCAGTGCTGAAGATCCCGAGGTTAGTGAGGAAGAAGGGGAAGAAGGTGCCCAAATAGAAGTTCCCCTGCAGCCCATGGCCAAATGTCAGGCTGTCCCTCTGCACTCATGGAGGAGCACGGTGGAACATTCCCTGAAGGGGCCAGAAGGGGCAAATGTGGATCTGCAGCCGTGGAGGACCCTGCACCAGGGGAGGTGCCTGTTCCTGAAGCCCCCGTGACTCTGCGGGCAGCGCTGGGGTGGCTCCGGGCTGGTGGGAAGGGCTCCTGGAGGAGAGGTCAGTGGAGGATCTGCCATGGGAGGGACCCGCGGGGAGCAGGGCAGGACTGTGAGGAATCCTTCCTCCTGAGGAGGAAGGAGCAGCAGGAACCACCAGCCTGTGAACTGACTCCAAACCCCATCCCCCTGTGCTGCTGGGGGGAAGGAGGGAGAGAAGTGGGGAACAAAGGGATTTGGGTCCGGGAAGAAAGGAGGGGTGGGGTAACGTGTGTGAGCCCTGCCCTGTGTGTGTCTGTGTCCTGAGGGCATTGATTAGTGTGAAATTAAATTATTATTTTTCCCCAAATTGTGTCTGTTTTGCCTCCTTGACCTTGTCTTGAACCGCAACTTCTAGCTGGGTTTATCCTCCCCACAGTGTGTGTGAGGGGGGAGTTGACTGAGCAGCTACTTGGCTGGTTCTTTGTTGTCCTGTTAGGCCCAAACCAGGACAAAAACCCAGCAAAGACTCAAATTTACCAACTTTTGATTTTAACATCTTTATTTTTCTCTTTGAGTATCTCATCATTCACAGATAAGGGCAGACAGGTTAAGAAGCTGAGAGAAATCCAAAAAGCATTCCAAATACAAGACATTTTAGGTAATCAAGTCTTTTGGTTAGTCACAGTTCCCTGAGATGCACAAATAGTCAGTAGGTGCATGTCACGTGTTGGTGTTTATGGAAGTCCCTGAACCTCTTGGAAATTATTTCTCATGTCACCTATAGCACATTAGGCACCACGGACACCTATGATGTTTCTACCTATAGTTCCCAACAGCCACAGTCTTCAAGGAACAATCTCTGATGATCACCTTCAAGAAGACCATCCTGACTACAGCCAGGGGAAGGCAGGAACTTACTCTGCTGCGATACAGCAGAACAAGAGACATGACACCTAAAATGCAGCATGAACCAGAGCAGATTAAATTTCTTCTTTTAAGGTAGCTGTCAATTTTAAGTGTAATAGATACACTAACGGGCTTTTATAGTGAAACAAACCCCACTAACTGCCTATTTTATTGAAACAGAGTAATTTTCTCTTGTGTTGCTTACATTTTAAGAGTTGGACACAATGTTTAAACACAAAAGCCACCATTAGAACATTATTCCTAATCTGAATATCCTAGTTCATTAAATTACAGCAAATTACTCTTATAGAGAGCATATTAATTTAGGTGTTGCTTGAAGGGTGTTAGGAAGAGTTTCTTTACCAAAAGGGTGAACAGGCTGCTCAGGGCAGTGGTGGAGTCACCATCCCTGGAGGTATTGAAGAGTGTACAGACAGTGCTCGGGGAATATGGTTTAGTTAAGGACAGTTAAGTCAGTGTTAGGTTGATGGTTGGACTTAATGATCTTTAAGGTCTTTTCCAACCAAGGTAATTCTGTAATTCTTAAGGAGACACTCAATTTGGGGCTTAGACATAGCAGAGAATTCAGCATTTCTTGTGGGAGATGGTTGCACCACAGCAAATCCCCCAGTTCTGCCCAGGCCTCCCAACTCCCAGTTTTGGAGCTCTGAGATGTTTCACAACAGTACCTTGTATTTTCAAGGCCACATTGGACGGGGCCTTAAGCAACCTGGTCCAGTGGGAGGTGTCGCTGCCCATGCAGGGGGTTTAGAACTAGATGATCTTTAAGGTCCCTTCCAACCCAACCCATTCTATGATTCTAAGCCATTCAGCAACCACAGCAGCCTATTCCACAACAATTCCTGGCAGCTCTGCATCCCTCTCTCAGCACTTGGCTAACGTGGCTACCTACCATGGACAGAAACAGGTCAGGAAAGCAGGAAGCTCAAAAGTAGCTCTTTGAGCTAGAGAGGTATTCCTGTAAGAAAACACCACTGAAAACGAACGTTAGGAATTTCAGGCCAAACAATTCCCAAATCTCAAGGACTGTAGGCTGCAGGACTGAGGGATCTCAGGGAACTGGGGAGAAAGAAAACCCTAAGGTGTCTCTAGAGAAAGAAAGAAAAACAGGAGCAAGCCTGTGCTTATGAACTTACCAGTGGTAGCTCAATAGCAGAAAAGACAACAGAAAAAAATTAATGTAAAAATACTTTTACAGGCACTAGGGACATTACAGCTGCCAAAAAAACAGCTAATATATACTATCAGGTACTTGTATCAAACGAATTTGATTTCCTCTTTTGATGGAGCAATTGGCTTCGGAGACAGGAGCAGAAGCATCTGACTCCACTTCAGCCGGGCAGGGGGAGGTCTCAGCAAGCCCCACCGGCGGGAAAAGTCCCCCGAGGGCCTCCCCTCCGGCGGGTCTGGCTCGGCGGGGGCAACGAGAGCGAGGGGGAGCTGGGCTAAGATACAAAGGCGGAGAACCGGGGAGCGGTGCTGCTGCCGGGGCTGCGCCCGGGACACCCAGCGAGGGGAACCGCGGCCTGCGGGCACACCGGGCACACCGGGCACACCGGGCACGGCCTCCGGCGGGCCCTGCAGCAGG